GAGCGCTCTGGGATTCTAACGTGATGTGTCCTTTCATTTGTCTGTCCCTGTACAGCCTCCAAACCGTCAGTAGTTTACCCGTTTTATGCTAACGTCAGTCAGTCGGTACACTCTGCTGAACAGTTTTCTTGGATTAAACGTTGTGTAATCCCGTTAATTTGTGACCTCTTCAGGATTGACTGCTGCAGCCGTTTTCATGCTTGTGTCTGTTTATGCTCCTTTAATTAAAGAAACTTCTCCCTCTGAATGTTCTGATTGTGTTTCTCGTGTTGACTCGTCACATCGCTGACGTCCCCGTAATCCATGTTCAAAAAACGACCTTGGGGGGGATTTTGTACAACAGCTGCTGTCGACTGCTTCCTGTTTTATTCCTCTGTGTGCGCTCCTCTCTGCAGAGATCATTTTCAGCCGTGCATGTTGGTAACCCCACAGTGGGATGTTCGTCAGAGGGATTGTGGGGATGTCACCTCTGATCATCACTGTCATCCCCGTAATCCAGAGAAAAAAAACAGCAGACTGAGAGGGATTATTGTCAAAGTCAAACCTCAAACAGCTCGTTTGAAATGTTGCTCCGGAGCTTTTATCTTGGAGCTACATGTGGTTCTGATTAGCACGTTCAAAGACAGGTCGTAAATGACTGAATTCATGAATAAAAACAAAGAAGAAGAACGGCATGTTGTTGCTCCTGTGTCCTCGTCACTCTCTGTGCAGCAGCTTCCCGCGAGGATTACTTTGATTTCTTTGCCTAAATACAGTTGAAAGAGAAATCTGTGTCGTTCACTTATTTCTAAGTAATCCACCTGTAATCTGCCCACTGCTATTGGTTAATCTGCTTAGTGATGTCGCACAGTGAAAACAGAAAAACACACAGCAGGAAGTTTAGAGAAGAGAGAATGTAAAAAGCCAGCATCCAAACACAGCATTCAGAATGTGACCCGAGTACGACGTAAATATTACTCCTGAATGATGAACAGAAAGTGGAAATGGACTTCAGCTTGTTCAGTTCTTTTCTAGTCTTCTGACGACTCAGTGCTTTTACACCGCAGGTCACACCTACACATTCACACACTGATGGTCGAGGCTGCTGAGTAAAGTGACCATCAGAAGTAACTTATCCCATTTATAGGCCACCAACGAAGAAGCAGGAGCAACTTGGGGTTAAGTGTCTTGGTCAAGGACATATCGGACATGTGGCTGCAGGAGCTGGGGATCGAACCCCCGACCTTCCGGGTTGGAGACGACCAACTCTACCACTGAGCCACAGCTGTCCGATGCATCATTGGCTGAGGAACCAATCAGACGATATCAGTCGTCATGATACCAGATTTTAAACTTTGATTCTGGTAAAAATCAAACGATACCTGTTTGACACCACAGCAGCAGCAACAACAACAACAACAACAACAACAACAACAACAACAACAACAACAACAACAACAACAACAACAACAACAACAACAACAACAACAACCCGACACTCAAGAATGGGTATTTCAATTATCACATATTACAGACAAACTCCTGCAAGCTGTCTTGAATGTGGCCGCCAATTTATTTGTAGAATTTTGACTGTTCAGGAATTTACTTGCAGTGTTTGATGGATGAAATCCTCTGCTACACGCTGGTCTTATAAAACAATGTTGTTCTTTTTAAAGATTTGCTATTCATTGACACTATTGTATTATTACAACAACAGAGATTTGGGAACTTTGACAACCATAGATCTGAGTTCCGACTCCCCTCATGACCTCCCCTCTCTCTTTATCTCCTGCTCGTGTGTTCAGCTTCTTCCTCTTGACGCACTTTTCTCAGAGTATTTTCATCGTTTTTTCATCGTTTTTTTTCGTTCTGCTGATCTGATTGCAGCTCATCTGTCTGTTTAGAGAGAAGCATCTGCCACATGAGAGCATGTAAAGAAAACACAGCCCGAGTGCAGCCGGCTGTGTTTCTCTCTGTGAGGACAGTGAGTAAACTGTGAGGAGCATTCTCTGCAGGCAGTGACGAAGACGCTGCCCCTCCCCCTCCCCCTCCCCGACAGGCTGGTTGAGAAGAGGAGCGTCCTCGGCCAAACACTGATACCCCTCGAGGTGTTCCAGCGAGCAAGAGGTCAGAACAGCCCGCAGCCGTCAGACTGTTTGAGTCACCCGCTCCGTCACAGCATGGACATCAGCGGCGTGCAGGCTTCCTGTCACAACTCGTATTTCACTCGGTTTTAGCAACATTCAAGTGTCAGCCTCTGTTTACTCTCCGCTCTGCTGAGGCCTCCGCTTGAGCTAATGACAGTGAAACGGAGAGTCATCATGGAAATATTAAAACAGAGCAGGTAGAGCCGAGAACCAGAGTCCAAGTCAGGTGGTTCAGAGAGACCTCGAGTTCAGGTTAGGAGGTGTAGAGAGACCTTGAGTCCAAGTTAGGAGGTTCAGAGAGACCTTGAGTCCAAGTCAGGAGGTTCAGAGAGACCTGGAGTCCAAGTCAGGAGGTTCAGAGAGACCTGGAGTCCAAGTCAGGAGGTTCAGAGAGACCTTGAGTCCAAGTTAGCAGGTGCAGAGAGACCTTGAGTCCAAGTTAGGAGGTGCAGAGAGACCTTGAGTCCAAGTTAGCAGGTGCAGAGAGACCTTGAGTCCAAGTCAGGTGGTTCAGAGAGACCTCGAGTCCAAGTCAGGAGGTTCAGAGAGACCTCGAGTCCAAGTCAGGTGGTTCAGAGAGACCTTGAGTCCAAGTCAGGAGGTTCAGAGAGACCTTGAGTCCAAGTTAGGTGGTTCAGAGAGACCTCGAAATGACAACTGATAAAGTCAGAAGGGAAAGAGTCAGAGGGGGCGATGGCAGAAAGTCATGAAAATACACAAGAAGTCAAGCTGTTTCTTCACAATGGAGCTGAACACGTTTACTGTGCCTTCATCTCATGGTATATAAAACCTGTTTACAGTTTGTATTCATGATGTTTATCTTATTTGAGACTGTGCCTGTTCCCTCTCCAGAGTTTCTCAAATTACATGCTGCTCTCGTTGCATTTCACGCTCGTCTCCAAGGTGCCCTAACGGCACAGAATCTGATTTCTGGCTGGTTTTTCCATTACCATCTAAAATGTCTCAGATACATCCAAAAAGTTGCAGCGTCAGGTATCAAGAGTGCAGGTCGATGCACTTATCAGATCTAATATCACAAAAATGGCCAATTTAAATTACTGATCTTCTCATCTTTATGGCACGCCCTCTACATTTTCCCTGCAGGAAACTCCAACAACAATCCTGACTCCATGCACATGCCACAAATAAATCAACCCATGACAAACACTGAATGAGCTAACAGTCCAGGTCTGGTTCTCACAGACTCCGATTAGCTGCTAATGTTGCTAACATGTAAACAAATAATGTTCTAATGTGACTGGTTGTAGAAAGTGGAGCTCAGACTTGTTGGACGGTCTGTTAGTCCAATAAAGCTCACAGAGAGACAGATTATTAGTCTGATATTTAGGAACAAATCTCCAAAAGGCTCCAACAGCACAAACACGGCCCAGAGGTTAAAGGACAGACTCTAGTGCACACTGGAGGAACTGCAGCTGTAAAGTTGGACATTTTAACATGGGGCTCTATGGGGACTGACTCACTGCAGAGTGCAAGTTTTACCTCTGTATGTCGAGGTAAACTTGATCGTTCTGATTCTATCAATGAAGATATTCAATTGCTGACGTGTCTATGTGTGTGTGTGTGTGTGTGTGTGTGTGTGTGTGTGTGTGTGTGTGTGTGTGTGTGTGTGTGTGTGTGTGTGTGTGTGTGTGTACGCGTGCATGTGTGCTCAGACTGCTCAGCTGAAGATTTCTCGCAGTTTCTGCTTCAATTCTCCGGAGAATCAGAACGAGTCGGTCTGCAGAGGAGATTCACTCTGACAGCCTTTTAGTGCAGCAGGAAGCCAGGAGAGAGAGTGAGTGTGTGTGTGTGTGTGTGTGTGTGTGTGTGTGTGTGTGTGTGTGTGTGTGTGTGTGTGTGTGTGTGTGTGTGTGTGTGTGTGTGTGTGTGCGTGGTCTCCTGTCACTCCCTCTGATGGTATTCCGTGTGAAGGGGTCCCCTGCAGGTCAGGCTAAGCTTGAGTGGAAGGTCTCAGAGTTGACCCTCGTTGATCCCCCGTAGACAGACAGACAGACAGACAGGTAGACACACACAAACACACACACACAAACACACACCCACACCCACACAGGCGTGCCTTTACAACCCGTTGGTGTGCGTTTTAATCTCGGTCTCTCTGTTCTGATGGATGTCGTAAAATCTGATTGGATCTTTAAGCACTTCCTCTTTCACCTCACAATGCATTCTGGGTATTTCACAGGTTAAAATGTTAATTTTTTTTGCCAGCTGTAGTTCGGTTGCAGCAGATGTTTGGCGAGGAGAGAGCGTGACATCATGAAGGATCTTCTTCTGTCGTGCTCAGACGTTTCCTCGGGCTGCTGTGTTGGATACATATCTTAAATAAAGCGTTCACCTTTAAGAGTTTAGGGCTACATTTCACCGATCATCGTTTGGTGTTATGACCTGGGTATGGAGTCGACATGCTTCCTGTTCCTGTGTCACACGGGGACAGTTTGATCTTTGAGTCATAGATTTACGAGGACAAGTATTCTGTCAGATCAGGATCCATCTTTTCAATGTCAGCGGTGACGGGAATAAATATCCTGCAAAGCATTGAACATTCTAATAAACCTGAGAATACAAAAGAGTACACAGTCGAGTACATACCACAGAGCGCCCCCTACAGGCCTGGACCTCTTCCATTGAAGGCTAGGTATTCAGCGTTTGCCCTTGTGGGCCACCGTAGTTCTGACTCAGTGAAGTGAATCTTAATTTCCACAACTCTAAAAAAGACCTGTAGCTTCAGACTGTAGCTTCAGTCGGTTATATGGCTCCAATTGGAGCCATATAACCGAAGTAATCTGTGTGTGTGTGTGTGTGTGTGTGTGTGTGTGTGTGTGTGTGTGTGTGTGTGTGTGTGTGTGTGTGTGTGTGTTACCCACACTGCACCACCAGCTGGATGAGTGCCTCTCGTGGCTTCACGTTGAACCCATTGTACTGACTCGTCTGGCAGCGATACGAGCCGCTCATGTCTCGGGTCACGTTGCTGATCCTCAGGACGCCGTCGTAGCTCTCGATCTGTTCCGACCCGTCCGGCATCAGAGGCGCAGTCGCTGCTGCTGCCGCCGCCGCCCCACTCTCCTCCACCCTCGACCACAGGATGATGGGTTTGGGTTTCCCTGAGACCAGACACTGCAGGTCCACGGTGTCGCCCTCCTGAGCGATGAGGTGAGAGCGCCCTCTGGGGACGCTCAGCTCTGGAGGAACTGCAGAAGAAGACACGGTTAAGAAACAACACGGGCTGAAGAACCTCACGTTCACCTCTCATGTCGTCAGTGTGTGAAACCTTTACATGATCTTATTTATCGGATACTGGCATCTGCAAAAACCTGTCTCTTTAAGCCCCCAACCCCCCCCCCCCCCACGTGCCCGCTTTCCTCTGATTGGCCAGCTCTCTGGAAGCCTTCTATAGGGCAGAACGCTGCAGGGCTGCCAGGGGAGGGAGAGAGTCTATGGCGTGATTTACAGAACAAACCCTTTAGCGCCCTCTGCAGACTCATCCTGGGATTACGCCAACATACGTTTATACCTCATGATCTGAAACTTTGACCACGTTAAGTTCGGACTTCCAGCGTTGTAACACTTTATGAGAGTTTAAAACAGGACCTGGTTTTGATTAATTGTATTGTCTGAAATCAGGGGAAACAGCTCATGGCAGGAGATGTTACAGGTTTTACCTTGTGTTCGTCTGAAGCTCGGAGGTCAGAATATAAAATATTCTATTAATAGCTGAATGAGTGCAGAGAGGTGACGCTGTGAGCAGGAATAACACAGGAGGAAGCGGTCTGATGTGGAGTTTGTCCTTCATTTAAAAAGCACGGTGAGAGAGCTGCTGAAGGGGGGAGGGGGAGGGGGGGAGAGGCTGCTTGACTGTTTTAACATTTATTCTCCTTATGGGAATGCAGCAGCGACCCGAGCACGACCTTCTGTTTTAACACGAAACATCCGTCAGCGGGCGTTCAGGCTGCAGCAACTCTTTACTTCCTCTCCTCCATCACTTCATCCCTCACCCCCCCCTCCTTCCCCCCCGTGCTCCTCCTCACAGGCTCTCTGACTGTTTCCTCCCGACTGCCAAGGTCACAAACAAACAGGAAGTCAGCCGCCGCCAGCAGACGCTCATCCGCATGACGTCGGTCTGAAGGAAAAGTTATTTTCTCTGAAAGAAGAGGACTGTTTGAGAGTCAGAGCGCTGCGGGGTTTTTACCAGAAGAAGAAGAAGAAGAGGAAGTGCAGGTGCTGAGGAGAAGAGGAGAAGAAGACGTCCATGTCTCCGTTGAAAGATTTCTTCATGATTCTTTTGGTTTCTACAGACGCCTCGAGGCTCTCAGAGAACAGACCTCCTCACTGGGAAACAGAGCTCCCGCAGGGTGGGAAGTTTGAGGAAAGTGTTTCTGTTTCTGTCTGACGTTTGAAGCCGATAAAGTCGACGCTAACAGACGCTTTAATCCACATCTGAGTTCAGTCTGAGACGATAAAGTTCTTCTCTCTTAAAGAACAACGACACTCAATTTGCCTGAAGCATCGGGAGGATTTTAACTCTTTAAAGTCAGAGGTGAAGAAGTTATCAATGAGATCAGAAAGAGGTGGTTAACCGGTCTGTGATTCTTCAATCCTCTCCTGTGAATCAAAATCAGCTCGGTCTGAGCGCTGCATTAAAGACACCTCAAGTTGTTTCCAGTAAACAGAAACGGACAACTGCACCAAAAGTTTGAGATCTCTCAGATTTTTCTGTTTCCACCTCATTCCCCTCCATTGATTAAAATAAAAGTCTCCTCTGTCATCAACTCTTCTTCTTTATTCACTCGTAGAAGCTGTTAGAGTCGAGACTGTGGAACATCAGCAGGAAACTCTGAACTCTGAATGTTAAAGGATTCAAACTAGACTTTTAAAATCACGTTATCATGTTCGATGAATTCCTCAAAGTGGGACTCAGGGTCCAGTCACACAGAGACACAAGATCACAGGAGTATATTGTATCTTGAAACACGCCTCTGCTTTTACGTCTGTAAGACATCTGAGGGGATTCTTATGCACCTGCTCAGTCTGTGTGAAGAATCAAAAAGACACAAAACACGCACACGAAGGGTTAAATGCTCCCCTCACAAACAGGGTGACAGTCACGCACAGTTAGAGTGAAAAAATAGTCGTCTGCTGAGAGTTGGCGGTAACTGCACCGATCAAACTTTCCAGAGATCAGGAAAACACTTCCACCTCTGTGTGCCTTCAAAATAAAAGCTCTGTAAATAAAGTCTGCTATTTATGTAACCAGATGGTTAAATCAGTCCAGGGCTGCCAGCGGCTCCACACTTCATCCAACATGTGTGGAGACACTCTGGAGCTGTTACCATGACAACCACTACACTGACTACTCTATGTCAGTGTTTGTGTCTGAGTATCATCAGAGCGATACGCTTTGTGAGCTCGACTCAGAGACGGAGCAGAGGCAGGGAGAACACAATGAAGGATTTATGGAACTTTAAGCGGCCACAATCCGTTCTTAATAAATCAAGGAGAGAGTAGAAGCCCCGCCCCCAGCGTGACTCACCAGTGGTGGATGAGATGTTGACGTCAATGCTGATCTCCGGGCTCCCTCCGTTCCTCAGCGAGGCCACGCAGGTGTAGGTGCCGAAGTCGGTGAACTTGAGGTCGATGATGTCGAGGTTGGTGGTTCCAGGCGAGACCTCGGTGTCCGTGTGGGTGATGACCATTCGCTCGGAGCTCCTCAGCGGACGCCCGTTCTTCAGCCAGCTGAACTGCAGCTCCTCAGGGGGCGTGGCCTCCACCTGGCAGCTGATCTTCACCTCCCGGCCGATCTGGATGTTGTCGTCGTTGTGGTACGGGTCGGGTGTGATCCAGAAACGACCTTTACGCAGACCTGCGGGAAGAGGACGGACACAAGGGGACCAGCTTTAGTCTTAAAGATTCTTCATTTCTTTGTCATCACTTTGTTTTTAATAAAGGTTTAACACAAACAGAGATCAACAGTTTGGTTCCTGAAGTAAAAATCCTGTTCATTTCCTCCATAGTGGATTTGATTATTAGCTATGATGTCATAACCATCACAGGTAGACTGACCACGAGGTACCTGAGCGTGAAACAATGTTCGTCTGATATCAAACTCATTTTAAAAATATCGGGAAAAGAACTACACTACCCACGATCATAGAGAGTCACAGCAACGTCTCTGATTGGTGGTGCTCGCTGTTACCATGGCAATGTTCCCTGCTCCTCTGCGCTGCATGAGAACGGATAGTTTCACTAGCAGGCTAACCGGTTAATTAGCTAACACTAGCAAGCACTACAAGTGATTACAACACGTGTATTAACAGTATAAACACGACAACCATGACTAAAGTTACACTGAAGAAGAAGAGGGATCATCTTCAATGCATGGTGGGATGTGTAGTTCCTTGACTCTGGAAGAAAGTGATGCACTCAGTCCTGTACCTTTTTCTTTTAGCTTCTTAACGCCATTTTGGCGCTGAATCAATTGTACTATAGTCACGAGTACTGGGGTAGCTGGTCGTCATGGTTACAGGCTTCAATCGCTTGATGTAAGGATTTTGTGAAATGTCAACAGAGGATTTGAACGGGGGAAATTAACTTCTGTGGGCGGTCGCTGTTGAGGTTTATAATAAAACTGGTTTTACAAACGGATGAAATTCTGAAAATAATAATTATGCAAATAAATCGACTTAGCAGTGCTGATGGCCTAGCAGTTATTTTGTGCACCCCATGTACGGAGGCTGTAGTCCTCATTGCCTGATGCACAGCCACCATCACCCGCTGCTGACCTCGTTTATGC